CATCCACGTGTGTTCCCATTTGCATTTTTCCTCCTTTCTTTTTTTTAAAATCATTTTATTGGAGGCTCATATAGCTCTTATCACAACCCATCCATCCATCCATTGTGTCAAGCACGTTTGTACACATGTTGCCATCATCATTTTTAAAACATTTTCTTTCTACTTGAGCCCTTGGTATCAGCTCCTCCTTCCCTCATGAACCCTTTCCATTTCATTTTTGACCACTTCCAATTTCCCTAGATTCATACTTCACACATTCTCAGTTCCAATCATTATCAGATTCATACTTCACACATTCTCAGTTCCAATCATGATCAGACTTCTGCAGCCGTTTTGCGCTACCCTGAATTGTGCCCCAACGGTAAATGAAAATCCTGAAGGTGCTATTCCGCCAGAGTTTACATGACTCACGTCACTATGATTGACTCCACTCGTAGAAATGTCACATTTTGGACCCGAGGGCCCCATCCTCCAGCGCGGTCTCTGATGATGTTCGGCTTCTGTTCGTTAGGCCTTCAGTGGCTGACAATGTTCAAAGCTCTACGTAAGGGTTTCAGTGGCTCCTTTCTCTGAAGCAAGGCGCCGAGCCCTTTGTTGTGTCTGTTCCTAGTCTGGAAGCTCTGCTGAAACCTGCTCACATTGGGTGACACTGCGGGCATCTGAAATACCAGGAGGTCGCTTCCAGTATCACAGCAACACACCCACAACCACCGCAGCACAACACGCCGACAGTTATGGGATAGACTCTGCCGCATTTACCTACCAGAGAGATCTGTGATTCGTGCTCTACCTTATAATTCTCAGGGTCTCTCCTTCTCGAAGGTGCCCTGGGAACACAAGTAATTAAGTGTTCAACGACAGAGTAGGGGGGTTGGGCTGGGGAAAGCCGGTGATTTGCTTCTTTAAGGATTGTTGTTGTCTGGTGCCCTGGAGTCAGTTCCAACTCGTGGTGGTTCCGTGCAGTCCTGCCCCACCCCCATAGTGGCAGCCACGGTGTCAGTCCCTCTCTGGCGGGCCTTCCTCTTCTTCCCTGGCCGTCTTCTTTTCCAAGCACAGTGCCGTTCTCCGGGCCTCGTCCCTCCTGATGGCAGGTCCAGAGTGTGAGAGACAAGTCTCCCCACCCTCCCTTCCAGGAGCGTTCTGGCTGTACTTCCTCCAGGCCAGATGTGTTTGCTCTTCCGGCAGCCACAGCCCTTTGAGTAGTGTTTGCCAGCACCAAGACTTCAGAGACATCAGTGTTGCTTCAGGCCTTCTGATTGGTTGTCCATCATTTGTATGCACATGAGGAAACTGAACATACCATGTCTTGGGTCAGGTGTGTACCTACCTTAGCCTTCAAAGGGACATATTTGCTCTCTAGCACTTTAAAGAGATCTTTTGCAACAGATTGTTGCTGTAGTTGCTGTTAGATGCCACCAGGCCGGTTCCATCTCGGAGCAATCCTCTGAGGGGGGTACCGCCAAAAAACAACAACAAAAACAGAAATTTTTTTCAAAGCTATATATTTAAACTTTTTTTTACGAAACAACCTTATCACTCTCAAAGTACTCTCCATGACACTTAACACATTTGTCAAATCTACGATTCCATTTTTGGAAGCATTTTTCAAACATCTGTTTGGATGGCTGACAGCACCTCCCTCAGTTTTTGTTTATTAAAGCATTTTATTGGGAGCTCTTACAGCTCTTATAACATGCATCAATTGTATCATGCACATTTGTACATATGTTGCCATCATCACTTTCAAAACATTTTTTCTGTTTGAGACCTTAGTATTACCTCCTCTCTTTTTTTCCCTCCCTTCTCCACGCTCCCACCCTCATGAACTCTTGATAAATTAGAAATTATTATTTTCATATCTTACACCGACTGAGGTGTCGAGGGGATCAGGTGTAAGGCATCATCAGAACAAAAAATCTTACCATATTGAATGATGGGGGGAGTGCGGAGTGGAGATCCAAAGCCCATTAGTAGGCCACTGGAGATCCCCTTGCAGAAGGGTCTCGGGGAGGAGATGAGCCAGCCAGGGTGCGATGTAACAATGATGAGAAATACAACTTTCCTCTAGTTCCTAAAGGTTTCCTCCCCACTCCCACTACCATGACTCGAATTCTATCTTGCAAGACTGGCTAGACCAGAGGAGGTACACTGGTACAGATAGGAACTGAAAATACAGGGAATCCAGGATGGATGAGCCCTATAGGACCAGTGGTGTGGGTGGCAAAATAGGGAGGGTAAAGGGAGAATGGGTGGGAAAGAGGGAGCCGATTGCATGGAACTGTGTGTGACCTCCTCCCTGGGGGACAGACAACCGAGGAGTGGATGAAGGGAGACGTCGGACGGGGCAAGATATGACAAAATACCCATTTATAAACTATCAAGGGCTCATGAGGGAGGGGGGAGCGGGGAGGGAGGGGAAAAATGAGGACCTAATGTCGGGGGTTTAAATGGAGAGAAAATGTTTTGAGAAACGATGTACAAATGCGCTTTACACAATTGATGTGTGTATGGATTGGGATAACAGTTGTATGAGCCCCTAATAAAATGTTAAAAAAGAGGGGAAAAAATGTGGGGAGGAGAGGGGTTATACATCGATCATTGCGATAGGTTCCCCCTTTCCTCTCCTTTCTCCCCCTACCCCTCTTGGTACCACTACTCCTATTTCTGTACGTGAGGGGTTTACCTGTCCTGGATTCCATGTGTCGGGAGCTCTTCTCAGCACCAGTGTACATGCTCTTGTTTCCCTGGATTTTCAAAGTAGAGCTGGGGACATGATATTGGGGGTTAGGAAGTCTCAAGGAACCAGAGAAATGTTTCATCGGTGCTATACTGCACCCTGGCTGACTCATCCCTTCCTGTAACCCTTCTGTGAGAGGATGTCCAATTATCTATGGATGGACAACCCTCTTCATTCGCATAGATATGATCATTTGTTTTGGGTCTTCTGATGCCTGTTCCCTGATCCCATCGACACCTTGTGATCACACATGGTGGTGTGTTTCTTTCATGTAGACTTTGTTGCTTCCCTGCTAGATGGCCGCTTGTTTAACTTCAAGCCTTTAAGACCCCAGATACTATATCTTTCAATAGCTGGGCACCATCAGCTTTCTTTACCACATTTGCTTATGCACCCATTTTGTCTTCAGCGATCATGTCGCCTCCCTCATTTTTTTCTTCACCTCTTCTATGTCATCAAATCACGGTCCTTTCATGCCCCTCTTCATTCATGGAAACAAAAGGAAGTCCCACAGGTCAATATTTTCATCCAATCGGGGAATTGATGGATGTCCAGAATGAGATTTGCTATCAATCTACATTTTACCTTTTTTAAAATGAGAAAACGCCCCTCATACACTTGCGTTTTTCCCATAGTGCTTTCATTGTAAGCTGTGTTCAACATCACAACACTTTCTGAGGCCTTTTTCCCAGGCAGGAAACAAAATTTCACAGACACATGCTGTTCTCTTAAATCAGCTATCACAAAAAAAACAAACAAAAAAACCTGAGGCTCAAGTGAAACTGCTTTTACCAAAAACTCACTGTGACCAGAGAACCTTCCCAGGCGATGCCACTGGGTGCACTAACTTAGTGAGATGTTAGATGCTCACTGAGGTAGTTAGTTTATTGTGTCCACCTGGCTGATAAATACAGTTGGGGTTAATTGAAAGGCAGAGGGATAAATGACTCAGTGAGCCTCGCCTTTTGAGTTCTCAGGTCTCTTGCTTTGTGATGGTTGCACCAGGGTGCAGCTGCCTTAGCAGTTCCCTGCTTCAGCTTGCAAGGCTGACTTCCTGCAAGTCATCCCCAAGGAGAAGCCACATGGACCTACCCCAATGCAGCCCTGGGTGCTGGAGCAGCCATGTGAAGATCCTTGCCATTACTGAGATGCTTACACATTCACTGATTTGGCTTTCCTCCTGCAATCGGCATCATAGTGTGTTTTGTGAGATGGAGGAGGACTTTGTGGATTGGTGTTGGACATATGGATTAATGTTGGATTTGTGGGCTTGGGCAGCACTGGGTTGGGATGTTTTCTGATGTGCACTTAACCTTTACATAAAACTCTCTCTTATACATGAGTTTCTGTGGATTTGTTTCTCTGAAGTACCTAGACTAACACACTCACCTAGCAGGAAAAATGCATACTACAAAAGCTCCACCCTCCCAAGTGCAATTCTGGCATTTTTTGTTGATTTTTTTTTGGGGGGGGGGTTGTACGAAGGGTCATATGTACAACAGAAAGGCCAGAGTGCCCTTCAGAGGCAAGGATGGCAAGAATTCTTCTTACATACTTCAGAAATATTGTCAGGAGAGATCAGTCCCTGGAAAAGGACGTTGTGATTGGTATGTTGAAGGGGTGGTGAAAAAAGAGGAAGATCTCCCTGGGGGACAGACAACAGAAAAGTTGGAGAAGGGAGACATCGGACAGGGCAAGATAGGACAAAATAATAATTGATAAATTATCAAGGGCTCATGAGGAAGGGGGGAGCGGAGAGGGAGGGGAAAAAATGAGGACCTGATACCTGGGGCTTAAGTGGAGAGCAAATGTTTTGAGAATGATGAGGGCAATGAATGTACAAATGTGCTTTGCACAATTGATGTATGTATGGATTGTGATGAGTTGTATGAGCCCCTAATAAAACGATTGGGGAAAAAAAAGAGGAAGGTCTTTGATGAGACAGATGGACACAGGGGCTGTATCAGTGGATTCAGGCATAGAAACAATTGTGATGGTGGCACAAGACCCTGCAGGGTTTCCTTCTGTTGTACCTGTGGGTCAGAGAAGACTTGATAGGACCTAACAACATATGGAGGGTTTTATTAGGATCGTGTTGTTGCTTTCATAATCTTGAGATGAATTATGTAAATATATATTGTTTCTTTCAAAATCAAACAAAACAAATCCCTCCAGATTCGTTATGACGCAAACCTAAATATTGGTCTGAGTGCCTTAAAAAAACAAACAAGCAAACAAACAAAATAGACAAGGAAGAGTAAAATCGAAATGGACTTAGGAGTCTTTAGTGACTAACAAATCCATCTTAAAAAACAATAAAAAAGATTAAAAAACAGAAGAAGATTGTTTACCAAGACTGTATGTAGTAAGTAAAGATTCACCTTACAATCTGTAAAGGCATTTTTGCATATTAGTGTGGATATACAAAAATAATAACAATGGTTAGGCATCTAGAATTAGTTGATGTCATTGTGTGTGAATTTTACCTTTCTCTTGTTCTTTATGTTTATTCCCCTTGTCCTTTAGATACATAACTCTTCACTGTAAATTGTCATATGATTAGTGTTGGGTAAGATTTTCTTACAATCGTCACATTAATAAGGCCTCTCTCCCCTGTGAGTTCTTTAATGTTAGAGTTGAAGATTAAAGGCATTCCCATAGTCGTTACATTCCTGAGGCGTCTCACCAGTGTGTTCTCTAATGTTGTGAAGGCTTCCCTCAATTGTGAATTCTTCTGTTTACTTTGTGTTGAAGTGTGATTAAAGGCTTTCCCACATCTTTACCTTCCTAAAGATCTGTCCACTGTGAATTCTTTTATTATCACTTAATATTGAAGGATGAATAAAGGTTTTCCCACATTCCTTACACTCACTGTACTGTTTTTTTTATGCTGTGAGGGTTGGGGACTTACTAAAGACTTTCCCACAGTCTTCACACTTATAAGACCTCTCTCTAATGTGAACTCTAGTATGTTTAGTTAGTGCTGAAGAGTGCTTAAAAGATTTCCCACATTCCTTACATTTAAAAGGCCTCTCTCCACTGTGAATCCTTCTATGTGCACTTAGTGCCGAAGACTGCTTAAAGGTTTTCCCACATTCCTTACATGTATAAGCCCTCTCTTCACTGTGAATTCTGCTGTGACTATTGAGTGCTGAAGAGTTCTTGAAGGCTTTCGTACATTCTTTACATTTATAAGGTCTCTCTCCAGTGTGAACTCTAGTGTGTTCAGTTAGTGCTGAAGAGTGCTTAAAGGCTTTCCCACATTCCTGACATTTATAAGCCCTCTCTTCACTGTGAATTCTGCAATGAGTATTTAATGTTGAAGAGTGTTTAAAGGTTTTCCCACATTCCTTACATTTATAAGGCCTCCTTCCACTGTGAATTCTCATATGAGCAGTTAGGCTCCAAGACTTACTAAAGTTCTTCTCGCATTCCTTACACTCATAAGGCCTCTCTCCATTGTGCGTACTTCTATGTCTAGTCAATGCTTTTGGATGACTAAAGGCTTTTTCACATTCCTTAAGTTCATAAAGAGTCCCTCCACTGTGAGTACTTAAATGCACAGCTAGTGTGGATGGATATTTACATGCTTTCCCACTTCCCCTACATCTATAAGCCTTCTGTCCAGTATACTGTCTTTTATGTTCTTTGAGGTAAGAGTAATGACAAAATGATTTTCCATATTCTTTACATTTGTAAGTCCGGTCTTCACTGTGACTTTTCACTTTAGTAAAAAGTGATGAGAAGGCACAGGATTTCCTACAATCTATGTGCTTACAGAGTTTCGCTCCACGAAGTGCTTCTGAACAAGGTTGTAGATAAGCGGGACAGCGCTGAGTTTCCTCATGTTCCGTGCATGGGTACTGTTTACAGTCAGTGTGTGTTCTGATGCACTGACTGAATGTCTGACCACAACCCTCCTGGAATCCAAAAGGAGCAGCACCAGCAGCAGTCCCTTTGTAGACAGGAGGATATTCAGTCCTCCAGAAACATTTTTCACTCCGATCAACTTCATTGTAGTTCGTCACTTTCTGTTCCATAGTTGCAGGGCTGGTCTCTGCCACATTTAGTCTGTTGAAAATAGGGAGTAAGTTGTTAGAATTACACTTTTTACCATTTCAAAATTACCATACACAAAAAGTATATATTTTCTCCCACGAATTGACTCGTGATATAGCATTATTATCGGGATTTTAAGAAATAATGGGTTTTATACTTTGTAAGACTGAAGCATTTCTCAGATACTAAATATCTGATGGCATTTCTGGAATCGGTATATTGTGGGAACAAGGTGAGTAAATACATTAAGAGCTATTCCGCTGCCCCTCCACCTCCTGGGTATGGTACCTCAAAGACCTTTCTTGGTTGCTGTGATTTTTACTGCCACTGATTTCATCTAATACGGATGACCAGAAGTTACTTTTCATGAATCGAAGTATATGCTCACTGGACCACTCTTGGAGATTGTTTTCCTGTTGAGAGACTGATCAGTAATTTTAAGTGGAGTTTCATTAAGAGAAAACAGAAAAGAAATTTGATGACAAAACAAGAACTGAGGCATTTTATGTCCCAAGAGTTTTATAAAGTCTTAAGAGTAAAATACATTACTGAGAGTTATTCACAGGATGATGGAACAACATTAACCGCAACAATATATTCACATATAAAGGCAACAACTACAAAAATAAAGCCATCCTTACCAGCATCCAGGTTCCTGAAAGTTTCCACCATCACATCTCTGTAAAGCTTCCTCTGAGCAACGTCTAGCAAAGTCCACTCTTCTTGAGTAAAGTCAATGGCCACATCCTCAAATACCACAGAATCCTAAACATCACATGTATTGTGGGTAAGCAAGATTCGTATCTGACAATGTGCGCAAAAGGATGAGTGAGGCTGTGTTACCTGGGAAAGAAAATTTATGGGAATAACGCAAAGTTCTGTACTTGCTAGGGTTTGGACATCAGCATTGTCTTTTCTCTTTGAATCTAGTGCTTGGCTTGAAGACTCTTATTCCATAGATAAAAGAGTGTTACAAGCACATCAGATGCACTTCTCTAGTTCTACTCTAAAAGGGTAGGAAAATCATTGCTACTAGGGCTCCAGTTACATGATGGGTTTCTCTGAAGCAAATCAATTTAAACACTTCTTGGCAATCAGTGAATGGATTCAGACAACAGCATTGTGAAACCCTTGACTTTCTCTTGCTGGGATGTCTTTGTAAAAAAAAGGCGGCAAATTTTGTGGTGCAAAATTTTAAAAGCAAATTTTGTCAGGACGCATAAGAAAATGTTAAGAAGACGCAAGTACAATTCTTCCCAAATCACTGAATTTGGCAAAGAGTTTATTGGGATGATACACCACACTACACAACAGCTTTTAGATGGACCAAGAATTTTAAGAATAGTAAGAAAACTTTCAAAATGAGCCAGGATAGGAAACATGAACTTTGAGGAGTAAAGATACTAAGTCTTACATCCAGAAAGTGGTAACAGAATACCTAAAAGTTACCCCTGATGTTTTCCTTTGGGGTATTGTAACAGTTTAGACTCATAACAAAATGAAACCCTGGAGTCCCGTGCCACTGCCACATTACTTGAGCCCATTACTACGGCCACTGTGTCACCCCATCTGTTTGGCAGTCTTCCTCATCTGGGCTTACTCACTTCACTAAGCTTGATGTCCTTTACCAAGAACTGGTCATTCCTCATAACATGTCTAAAGTACGCCAGACAAAGCATTGCTATTCGCACTATTAAGGGACATCCTCGCTTAACTTCTTCCAAGATGGGTTGTTTGCTCTCCTGAGCGTCCACTGCTGCTGTATCACAGTTGTCTGTCAGTGTGTACAACTGCGGTGGCCTGTGTGGTGCTACGACACTGGTGTTTCAAATAGCAGATGGTCAATGAGGGTGAACAGGTTTCTGCAAAGATTGCAAACTCAGTACAGACTATGAAGAATAGGCTGTCAACTTCAGAGTATTTAGCCACTGAAACCACCATGAAGAGTAGTAGGATACTGTCAAGGTAGTGCCAGAAGAAAAGACTGTCAGGTCAGAAGGCATTCAAGTATAGCTGAGGAAGAGCTGCATTCTCAAAGAAGAGACTACCATAATGAAGTGGATGGGCAAATCCATCAGGAGGAAGACCTTTTGGACCTTCCAGTGTCCTGGAATTGCCATTCTTCTAAAGGCTATCCATACTTTGTTATGATCCACACAGTTCAATGCCATGGCACAGTCAATAAACCACAGTAAATATCTTTCTGGCAGCAACCCATCAAGGTTGTTGCAATCATTTAATGATCTTCAGAAATAATTCACTTACAGGTGATGTGAATGATACTGTGAATGATACTGTTCATGATTTGCACCTGTCTTTGGAAGGGGCACAAACAGAAATTTCTTCCAGTGAGTATTCATGTGTGGGAAAAGTTGTTTGCTCCTTAGGAAAATGAGGCAGGACCACCATGTTCCATGGCTCAAGACCATGAGGGCATGCCGACAACTTCACCTGGGAAGCTGATGAAGCAGTGGCTGGTCTCTCTGCCTGAGATACAATGGACACTTTGACCCTGGCTCCCTGGCAAAAGCTGCGGAAAGCAGCAGTCTCCAAACTTATCAATTACTACATAGTCCCAACCTTGTCCTCCCCTCCAGTCTGTGAACAGCTTGGGGAGCTGATACCAAGGGTGCAAGCAAAAAGAAAATGTTTTTAAAATGATGATGACAACATATGTACAAATATGTTTGATACAACTGACTGTATGGATGATTATAAGATCTGTAAGAGATCCCAATAAAATGATTTACTAATAAAAAAAGAAAAGATCAAAATGGGTGTCAGAAAAGACACTGAGCCTTGCTCTTTATTATTATTATTATTATTAATAAATCACTTTATTGGGGGCTCTTACAGAGCTTATAAAAATCAATACATCAATTGTATCAAGTATATTTGTACATATGTTGCCATCATCATTTTAAAAACATTTTCTTTCCGCTTGAGCCTTTGGTATCAGCTCCTCTGAACCTCGCTCCTAATCACAGATGAGTTAAGGAGAATAGATTTCAAAGGGAAATTCTAGAAGACAAAAGAAATATTATGAAGCACGCAAAGACCAATTAGAAAACAAAATGGAAGAACACTCTCAACATATCTTAAAGTGAAAGAGCGTAAGAAAAATCCAAGCCTCAAGTTGCAATACGGAAAGATTCTACAGTCCAACTATGGAATGGTGCAGGACGTATCAAGAAGATGGAAAGAATACACAGTCACTGTACCTCAAAGAAGTAGTTGACAATCCTGGTGGTGGCATATGAGTAAGAACCCATGGTGATGAACATTAGCTAAAAACAAGGCTCCCCCTAATAAAATGATTTAAAAAATAAAATTAAAAAAAATTAAAAACAAGGCTCCCGGAACTGATGGACTATCCACTGAAATGTTAACAAGCTAATGAAGCACTGGAAGTACTCTATCGTCTATGCCAAGAAAATTTAGAAGACAGTTAATTGGCCAAGTGACTTAGAGAGATCCATATTTGTGCCCATTCCCAAGGAAGGTGAGCCAACAAAATGCTCAAATTATAGAATAGTATCACTCTCAAATGAAAGTAAAATTTCGCTGGAGACCATCCAATGATAGTTGCAATAGTACAATGACAGGTGCTGCCAGAAATTCAAACCAGATTCAGAAGAGGATGTGGAATGAGGGATATCATTGGTAATGCCAGATGGATCTTGGCTGAAAGTAGAGACTACCAAAAAGATGTTTGCTTTTGTTTAATTGAGTCTACACCAAATTATTTGACTGTGTGGACTGTAACAAACTATGGATACCATGAAGAGTGAGAATTCCAGAACACTTCACTATGTTCATGTGGAACTTGTGTATGGATCACGAGGCAAGTATGCAAACAGAAGAAGACCATGCTTAAAGTCTGAATTGTTGGGGGTTATTCACAAGAGGGCCACACGGAACGTTAAAAGTATAGTGGGGTGGGGGTGGGGCACTAGACGGCTCCAGCCTTGACTGCAGGAAGAGCTCTGGGGTCTTGTAGAAGGTGCGCTCCCCTCGGACAAAAACGCTGAGGACTAAGAGGGTATAAGCGCTGCTGGGTAACCGGGTCCTGGGAGATGGATCCCGAAATTTAAGGGGAATGGACCAATGCATTTTATTTTATATGAGTTTTTCTCTGTCTTTCTTTTCTCTTGGTGTCTATCTGTATGAAATAGGCAGCATAAGCAATCCACAGGGTCAACGGTTGGGGGAGGAGGGCACAGGAGAGGATAAGGCGGGGGTGGAGGTGGGGGAGAAGCGATGAGCCAAAATGGACAGAGAGAGGTGAATAGCAAGGGATCTAAAATTGACAGTGAGGAGGGGGTAATGTTCCTGGTTGTGTTTGATCAATTGAAATGTATCCAAGAGGAGTTACTGGGAGGTGAATTATGGATAAACATGATAATGGGGCAGGAGGAAAGAGGAAAGAAAAAGTAAGAATTATATACTGTATAGGTATAAATATAGATATGTATATATGTAAATATATCAAGATAGGTGTATTTGTCTGTGTGTGTGTGTGTGTGTGTGTGTACACACACACAAATGAAACAAGGAAGCAGATGGACTTTGGGCCTCTACTTAAATCTTACCTCCATACACGAAAAATTTGTTCTAATAATATGGCAATGTATGATACTCAGCTTCTCGACACAATCGCTGAAGACAAAATGGGTACATAAGCATATGTAGTGAAGAAAGCTAATGGTGCCCAGCTATTGAAAGATAGCATTCAGGGTCTCAAGGCTTGAAGTTAAACAAGTAGCCATCTAGCAGGGAAGCAACAAAGTCTACATGGAAGAAGCACCCCAGCCTGTGTGATCATCAGGTTTCAATGGTAATAGGTATCAGAAGTTCAAAAACAAGCAATCAAATTGACGTGAATGAGCATGACAAAGTGGAGACCCAAAAACCACCTGTATGATAATTGGGACAGTCCCTCACGGAAGGACCACACATAAGGGATGCTATATCCAGGGTGCAGTGTAGCACTGTTGAAACACATAAATACCTTCTAGTTCTTTAAAATTTCCTCCCCTTACTATTATGGTCTGAGTTTTACCTCATCAATCTTGTTAGACATGCATATATTACATTTGTATAATTAAGATTGTTTGATGCATGAAATCCAAGATAGATAAAAACCATTCAGAAATGATTCCTGAAGAATACAGAAAGGGGTGGAGGTGGGGAGGGGAGGAAGAGGGAACTGATAGCAATGATGAGTATATAACGCCACTCGGGGGGGAATGAATAACAGAATGGTAGGTGAACAGTTACATTAGCTGTTCTAAGATAATGCAATAAATAATATTTCAGATAAAAACAATTGTTCCTGGGTGGTGGTGGGGGAGGGGGAGGATAGAAGGTAGCTGATATCAAAAGGTGTAAGAAGAAAATGTTTTGAAAATGATGGTAGCAGCATTTGTACAATCGTGCTTGATCTAATTAAACTATGGATTGTAAGAGCTGCAAGAGCTTTTATTGGGAGCTATAAGAGCTCCCAATAAAATAGTTAAAAAAAAAAAGGTAGAGGGTCAGAGAACAAGATGGACTGCCACAG